AAAAAAAAGTCTTTAATCCGTAGCCTCAAGAAATAAGTTTAAAGAAGATCTAATTTTTAATTTAAATAACACGAATTAAAGAAAAAGAACTTTTCTTTTTTTAATTTCTTTTATAACTCTGGCATGACCAAACAAGTAGAGGGGAGTGGAAGGTTATAGAATAATGTTGTCTCCCCGCTTTCCCTTTTTCGTTACACTTGGAACCAAATAGGGAGTAATAATTTAGAGCCTCGTATCAAAAGTATTGCTGGGGAGATCGAGTAGATCTAGAAAAGTAGACCAACTTCAAATATTAACTATTAATTTGTTGGTTAGTTGCGCATGTGTATTGGCTTTGGTTGCAGTCATGGCATGGGTCTCTTTACTTTCCATTACCGGCTTTAATTAATTTCTTTGAATAATCGTGTGTACAAGTGTATTACTACTCAAAATATGATAATAACGACAGTGTCTGCTTTCTAATAAACTAAACACTAATCCACGTTGGAGATTTATTTTTTCTTCTGGGTGAAAGGAGACCACATGTCATTAATTTTTGTTATAATTAAGATCCGCAAATACTAAATGCTTCATCTTCTTTCTTTTTGGATAGGTGAGAATCCAAGCAATGCTTTAGATGGATGTACTTGGAGAGAAATTATTCCAATTTGGCCTCAAGTTGGACTTTATAATATGCCCTATGCATCACCAAATAGGTCATACTTTCTTGAGAAAAGATTTAAATAAAAATATAAAATTTGTCATTTTTTATTTAAAAATATAAACTTTTTGAAGTTTTAAATTAAATTGTAAACTTTTATTTTTTTATTTTAAAATATAAATTTTGTTCTATTTTGATTAATATTGATATTTACTGTGTCATTGTCATCGTCATCATCTTTAAATAGAAATAAGGCAAAATTCATATATTTATGTAGAAAAGAAAATAATTTATAGCCTAATTTAAAAACTCAAAAATTTTGTATCTTTATAATATATTTGTGTTGAGGAGAATGAAGAGAGGGAAAAAGTTTCTGTATTTAATTGTTAAAAAAATTGAAGTAGAGGAGAAGAGTTTCCTTTATTTTTTTTTCATATAATTTATTTATTTATAGATACAATTCTTTTCACCTTTATTTCACTTAACTTAAACATATGGTTATATATAAAAAAAAAAATTTATATCCTTATTTGTATCTTTTCTCTTTCTTTCTCACTAATTGGTTGACTTTTGTATTCTGTTTGGCCCGCTAAGACGCATTTTTCTACCTTTTGGGAATATTTCTTCCTCTTTTAGTGCTCTGGTCCAAGGCTCAATTACATAGATTCATTCTGAAATTCTAATGCGTACCAACAATCGGTATGTATTCATTCCATTATGTGGGGCTGTCTGGTGGGGCATATTTTGTGAGTTACTTGGAAACTTCCTCTTCTTATTTTCAATAAAAAAATCTTTTTTAAAAAAAATTCAAATTTTTTTATAGGAAAAATTTATTTTTAGCATTCAAGAGCTTATAAGTCATTTTAGGGTGAGAAAAAAATTCCAATTTGGAGTTCCTTGTAGACCTTGCTTATGAGCTCTCCAATAATGCTAAAAAGTAACTTTCATCTTTAACAGAATTTGAAAATTGGAAGAATCAATGTCAATTATAAACAACTCAAAAAATCAATTCTAGACAAATATACCTGCACAAATTCATTCTAATTTGTTCTATTTTCATGAGATGTCTCTGAAGAACGGATATTAAATATATATATTTTTTTTTGGTCGGCATTAAATTTTTTCTAGTTAATTGACATTTGACTAAGGTTTATTTGGCAGGTGGGTATATGTTTACATTGTGATTCGTGAACCAATGTTTCTTTGGCTACATAGTCAAAAGAAAAAGCTTATGTTTGAACATTTCTGAACATAAAGTTATTTCTCTTTAATATATTGAACATATGATACTATAGATTTTTTTTTTTTGAATGGCCCACTTCAATTCAGTGACATTGAACCCTGGGTTAAGATTATTCATCTCCAGTGAATTGCACGTTCAAATTTCACGAAATTTTTTTTCTTCATTTCCCAATTAACCTGATAAATAATTACAAATTATTCAAAAAAAAACATATGATACTATAGACTTAATTAAATAAAATGCAGGAAAAGTTAATTCTCCCCAAAGTTTTGGAAGCATTAGAAGAAAAATGAATTCTCCAACAATTAGAGGAATTTCGTGTCGACTAATTGTTGAAAATCGTGGTATGACTCGAAAATCTTTGTCTCCCTGACCCCTTCTTTAGAAACGTAATTTAGACTAGATCGCCTGATATTTTGACCAATTCCAACGCCTCAGAGGAAAATGATGCCTACCACTAATTTTAAGGTCATATATTTTTAATCTATTTATTTTATTATTTTTTCAAAGTTTTAGTTTGATTAAGTTGCAAGCAAATCTCGAACACATACTTTAGAAATGTCAAATGGAGTGTTGAGGGTGACCCCATCAT